TATGATGTTATCTAACAAGTGCAATATACGGCCAGCATGCGATATGGAAAAAAATAGTAATATTTTGACATAGTAACTTAGGTCTAGGGAAGCTGATTACAAAAATTATTATTACTTTTTTCGTTAAAACCTTAACTCTAGCTATCCTAAGCAATTGGGTTATTGTAACTCTCGTAAAACCCTCCTTCATAACCGCCTCTGTAATAACTGTATCAAAATAACTGTATCGGAAGTTTTCATTTGAGGTTGTCCTTGTGAACCCCCCTTCCCTTAATAAGAACGGTTGTTCCTAAATCAGCGTCAACCTTCTCTTCAATATGCAATGGGATGACCTTGTCGCCCAACCTCTTGTTGGATTTTTCTCCCACTTCGAAGACCATATTCTGGCGATAAGCGTTGCTCCGATCTATTCGCCTCGCAGTAATATTCGGGAAAATATGTGAACTGGCATGGAGGATCCCAATCGCCTTCTCCGCTAACAAATTAAGAGTATCTGTTTCATAGCCGGGTACATTTTCAGCTTCTATTTCTGCCGCTGCATCATAAGCAGCTTGATCGTATTGATTTTTGTATTGGGATACATCATTTTTTTCTTGTGTCAAATAATTTACGCTCTGGCGTCTGTAATCAGACATTCTTTGAGATGCTGCCTCCCGCCAGGACACATATATTAGTTTCTGTGAGTCATCGAACTCTGGCCCTTCATGACATTCGACACCGTCTATAATTTTTATTGGCTCGTAGACCTTGATTTCGGGGGCTGTCACAGTTGTGGATTGGTTTGTAAGCTGCTCTATCCTGGCTTCGAATTCTTTTCTTTGAACCTGCAGTGCGGCACTAACGGCCGCATAGATAATACCTTGCAACTGCTGTTCATTCATATCTTGCCCGCGTTTGATTCGTTAGTTTAAGTCGACAGTTTCACAGTCATACAGTTACGGTCAGTACAAATACTACTAAAGAGTCGATATATGGCGGATATGAAAAGGGGTTTCACTTACATAATTATATTCAGATTTTCTTTCTTCTACGTTGATTGTGATCTTCTTTCTTCCTCCTTGGTTCCGATCTTTCTTCTTGCACGTTGCTTGTAATCTTTCTTCCACGTTGGAATGGCAATTTGCGGATTAAATTCAGTACTTTTCTCGTAACGACGAATTTCATGTACCGGGACAATGACGATGGGGTTTTGTTATTATTATTATTTTTTTGACAGCACTTTTCACGAGCCCCATGTTGGGCGCCAGTTATATTTTTATTATATTTAGACTGTTCCTTTATTCGGTAGCGACGGTGTTGTCGACTACCACGATGCGAATTTTGTGAAATGCACTCTTTGTGCGAAAAAGCTGCAGTATTCGAATAACACAACCAACATGATTCAGGGCCGATTAATCAATTATTATCTTTTTTTTAATTGAATTTAGTTTCTTGCAAGTAATCATTTGATACATTAATCAAGTAATACATTTTGTTAGCCATCCCTAATGCGGATACAATGTCCCGAAATATATAAAATAATAAAGTTACACGAGTGGATTGCTAATTATACTGAGTGTTTTGTAGCTACAGGGCTAAGATCCAGGAGTCATAGCCAGATGAAGTAGTGCAATTCAGGTGCACCAATTGAGCGAATTTCTGTTGTGATGTAGATCATCCATTTCTAACCAGTAAATTAGAACACAAATAAGTTTGCATTATATGAGCAAATGGTCAGAGGTAAGCCCAATTCCTATACAAGAGGCTGTACCAGCAGTGGAAATTGGGTAAGGAGATATGGTGTTCTAAAGGACATACGTTCTGACCAAAAAAAGAATTTTGAATCAGCTCTATTTCAGGAGATGTGCTAGAAATTGGGTATCCAGAAAACATATACAGCTGCATTACATCCACAGTCCGATTGCATGTCAGAAGGATTCAATCGAACATTAGAAAACAATTTGAGGAAAGCGGTAGCCAAATATCAAAGAGAGTGCTCCACTGCTTTAACAGTGAATTTCATGTTTTTTAAATAAGACTCCAATGTTTTATGTAATTCGAAGATAATATTGTTTTGATTTTATATACAAATTTTTCATGCCACACCCTATCGAAAGTGTTTAAATAAACCATCTGTAATTTTAAAACGAGATGTGCAATATCTAGCCCCAGGCTTAAGTCACTTTTGTCTTTTTTGGCATGGAGTCTTAATCGATTTCTAAGCAACACTTTTCTGTTCTACCATGCATCTTTCAATCTGGAAGATTCGTAACATAGAATCTAGGTAAACCCCGAGGTCAAGAAAGTTTTCCTATTTCTGTTAATAGTGTATACTAGTACATACACATTTGCATAGCTTCATTGGGCCACATTATTAACATTGCAAGGTTTTAAACTCTGGTCCTTGAGAAAAAACGAAAAAGAACTGTTCTTAACATTTACTTGAAATACAAAATTAATTACATTGTGATTTTCGCTTCAGCAAATTATTATCGATAATACTGATTCGCTATTGCTGAATATAAGCATCTAGACTAATTTACTGCATCAACACTAATAAACATGGAGGACGAAAGACAGCCTATGTTTTATAAAATTTATACGAGTGTGTATATTTTGACATTTCTTTCGATCATGACTTTTAGAATCACGTACATTCGTTTCGCAATCGTGCTTACTCGTTGAAAATATAAAGATAGTTCGAAAATGAGTCGTAAATATATGAGTGGAGCCGAAAAACGAAAATTGGCGAATAAAAAAAAGGAAGATCAAGAAAAAGTGATAAAAAAAGTACGAAAAATTAATGAATTATTTGCCGCATTTGGAATAACACCAACTTCTTGTGCAACCGAAAGTGTAAACGACTAAATTGAATCACCAATTGAATTACATGATGAAGACGTTGTTGAGTCTATGTTATTATATTATATTGAAACAGAAACAATTGAAATCGGAAGAGCTCTCGAGTTTTCAACTGATGCAGCTTTTATGGAATATTGGAGACCACATAACATCGTTACAAATCTATTGGATCAACAAAGGTATTGTTGAATGAGGTTATGTTTTGAAATTGAAAAGAAATATTCACAACATTCACAATTTCACATAATTTCTTTAAGGACCGACTTTGTGCCGAAATTTTCCGAACGATGCAAATAGAATTGCCACATTTGAAGGCCGCAGTTTCATTAAACAACAATTGAAACGTACACTCGCAAATAGACAAACTGTTAATCGTGATTGGGTGATATATTCACCATCGCAAAAATCTATGTTTTGCTTCGTAACAGCTCATGAAAATTCCAAAAATTACGTTCTCAATGAATTGGCGTACAAACAACGAGCAAAGGATACGTATGCACTTACGATCGATAGCAGAATCACAATTTACACAGAAATCGAAAAAAAATACTGGAGATCCATTTTAGAACGAGTTGTTGCCGTAAAAAAATTTTGGAATCGAGAGGGCTACCCTTCCGCGGTGGTTGACTTCAAAACGGAAATTTTCTAGGAATACTTGATCTTCAAAGTTAATTTGATCCATTAATTGCAATGCATATCGCGAAATATGGAAGTCAAGGAAGAGGTATAATTTGTTTAAGTAGTTTTGTATGCGAATTATCTTTAAATTGATTGACCGATCGATTCAGGTCGAGCATCATATCTGTCAGGCACAATTTGTTATGAATTTATTAACTTGATTGGTTCAAAAGTATTGAATATGATTTTGACCGACATGAAACAAGCAAAATATTTCTCAATCAGCGTCGACTCAAGACCTGACGCTAGTCATTGTGATCAATTGGTATTATGTGAAAAACGAGGAGCCAATTGAGATATTAATTTAATTTATTAAAATCGATCAACACAAATCGGAATATCTTACCAGAACTATCGACCAATTTCTCTGATTGCCGTGGCCAGTTCTATGATAACACAAATAACATGGCTGGAAAATATTCCGGACTTCAACAACATATTCTAGAACTAAACAAGTTCGCAATATTAATGCCATGCGCTGCACATTCATTGAATCTAGTTGGAACATCAGCAGTTTCAAAAGAGTTTGCTGTTTTTTTTTTTGTTTTAAAGCATTTATTTTTTTTTTGTAAATTCACCTTCGCGCTGGAAACTTGTTGAGCAATGCTTTGGAACAAGGTCAAGTCGTACTGAAACGAACACAAGATGTTCTGGAAAATTTGATTCCGTCAATGCTTTCAATGGCAATATAAAACAAGTGCAATCAGTCTTATTACGATTGATTAACGACGAAAGCTTCCAAACAAATCATAAAAACAAACTTCTCGCAACTGGACATCTTGTCAAATTTGAACGTGCAAATAAAACCTTGCAAAATTCTGATTTGAATCTTTCAGTGCAGTAAAAATATATCAAAGCCTTGTCGGTCACAGTGAAGATTTAAAATACCGATTTAACCATTTTTTTCATGATGCAAAATCAACGTACGTGAAATTAAATGCCGAAGAACATACCTTCTGCTCAACGCAAAACGAGACTTTATCCATAACTCGACAAGGACATGACATATGGCCATACTTTTTTTTGCTTAGGTTGGCAGGACTGTTATATGTTTACATGTCAAATTTGAGCGCGATCTGTCACATAGTTTTTTTTTTACGGCACTATAAACAAGTCAACCTCGAGTGTGTTTTTCGAATTCTACTATGGAAATTAACGTTGAGCAAAAAGTGTTTGTTGAAATTTTGTTATTCCAATGGAATAAGTGCGACGGACGCAATGAAAATGTTGCAGAAGGCATTTGGGGAGTCTTGCCTATCACGTGCACGTATTTTTGATTGGTATAAGTCGTTCAAGGACGGCCGTACATCGCTGGAGAACTTGCCCATGATCGTCGTCCAGCAACGTCAATAAGTCAATAAGTAAATCGAAAAAAGTAAAGAAAATTGTGTTGGAAAATCGTGTGACTGAAAGAAGATAGCTAGTGAGCTCAACATATCAAATGGATCCGCTCATAGCATTATTCACGATGTTTTGGGCATGCGACGTGTGTCTGCTCGACTTGTTCCAAAATCCAGCTCATACGTCTCGTCTTGTACGCGATTATTTGACCAAAAACAACGTAAATATTGTTCCGCAAGCACCGTATTCACCCGACATGGCACCGTGTGACTTTTTTCTTTTCCCTAAACTCAAATTGCCGCTTCGTGGAAAGCATTTTCAGTCGATTGAAGTCATAAAGAGAATTCGAAGAAGGAACTGAAAGCCATACCTAAAGCGCTACCAGAAGTGTTAGAAGATTGGAAAAAAAAGTGGCATATGTGTATCGCCTCTAATGGTGACTATTTTGAAGGGGATAAAATAAATATTGAAGAATAATTAGCCGTTTTTGTTGTTTGAGCCAGTCTCGTTTATATTTGAGCAGAAGGTACATTTAAAAGTCGATCAGCAATCACCATCGAAAATATGGATGAAAGGGAGAATGAATTATGTAATAATAATTTCGCTCCTCTCATTGAATCATTAGGCACTAATCTGAAACACAATGGGTTGTTGCGCAGAAGTAGAAAGAAGATTGGCTTTCTTTTACGGCTTCTATGTCACAAATTGTAAAATTTATTCTAATGATGTTGATGAAAAAGAATTGATTTCACAAAGCGAGGTCGCTAAACAATATTTCTTTCTGATCTATGTTCCTTCTATTTATTCCAGAATTATCAAAGATGAATTAAAAACTCTTTTTCCAAATATGAAATATTTGAAATGAAATTTTGGGTTCACTGAACTTGGACGAAATCATGATGAATTTGTGTTGTTGAAGGAACAACGAAAGATTATGTAGAAGGAAAGAAAATTCGAATTTAAATTCAAATTAACTTATTATGAGTAAGTGTTTCGTATTAGAAAATAGTTTTGAATAAAGAAAATAAAAGTGTAATGCGAGCGAAGCAATGACAATTTTTTTAAATATTTCTTTTCTTTTTTTCAAATTTTGTTTTTATGGTTAACCGGGCCCGAGGCAATTGCTTCATTTGCTTTCAGGTTAACTATGCACTGATACGGGACAACCCCTGTAGTTAACAAGGTTATTTCACCACAATTACTACATTTGAATACTTTCGTGAAATTCTTTTTTCTTAAGAGTATATTTGGACGTAGGGTGTAAATCAACTCATACTACAAATGCTGCGTAGGGTACAATATGATTAGGAGGGCCCATTACTCTTGGCAGTTAGTGCATTGTACCGGATCATTTGCTTTTATGTGGTTCTTCAATTAATTAATTTTTCTTAAGCTTAACACTTGATTAATTCAATTTTAAACATTAGTTGTGGTACTTTATTGCTGTTGAAGATATTTATATGAACTTAATAAACAAATAAATATATTTGTATAGTATGTTAATAATCCGTCTTTACATTTGAAAGTTCAAACTAATCTTTTCTTCATGTCAGAACTTGTGAAATAAATTGAATTTTAGTTGCCTGTTCTTGCCCGCATTGCCGACATAATCATACTGAAACAAAAATATAAGATAAACTAAGTGCGTTTTATTTGTCAACAATGTAGCTATTAGCTACAAATTGAATTAATAGCTAACAACAACATCGTTGACAAATGAAACGCACCTAGCTTATTTCATAGTTTCGCTTATAACGAACTGTGTTGGCAATCGGGAGTAAGTAAAGTATTATTTATCACTTTATAGCACCAAAATGTCGTAAGCAATCAAACATCAATCCTATGTTTCAGTAACTAAAATATATCAAAACAACCTTTTCTCTCAACGAACAGAATGTATCAAAACAAACGAAATGTATCTAAACAAACAAAATGTTATATGTAAACAACTATTAACTAGTAATAAGTAAACACACTTACTAGCATAAATAAAAGTAAAAGTAACAGGTTGCTACAGAGTATAAAAACAATAGTTTTGTTTACCTAACTGTTGGTTGTATCAGCTAAACTAATCGACTTAGATATAGGGTTATGTACATACATAGACTTGTAAATGAATCAGGATAAAGAGACGAGTTGAAATCCGGGTGATTGTCTGTCTTTCTGTGCAGCTGTAACTAGAGTAAAAATTTAGATATCTTTCTAAAACTTGTACACACGTTTCTTGTACCGTAAGACGGTCGGTATTGCAGATGGGCTAATCGATCAAAACAAAATAAATTTCCATAACTAAGCTCCACAATAAGATAAAAGACTGTTATTTGGTATACAGGATCACTTTAGGGAAAGGGGCTCTGCAGTAAAAAATTTCAATCCTATGTTTCAGTTTCTGTTTAACAGATTTTAAACCAATTCTGTGCATAATATTCGGATCATATTTCTATGTTATAGTGCGAAAATGGGCGAAATCGGATTACAACCACGTCTATTTCCATATAACATCATTTAAATTCCATCTGATTCTTTTACTTTCCCTATGCAAATCAAGCAACAATGTTTGTATAGGAGTAAACTTTGCGTAAATAATGCGTTTAAAGTATGCCACCTTGTGACTAAAAATTGTCTAAATCGAACCAAAACTGTTCAAGCCCCCGGTACTGAATATGTGGACCTTAGTGCCTATAGTTGACTTTTTACTGAAAGTATCGGTCAATGTGTAAGATATATAATTGAATATAATAAAATAAATAAATGAAACTCTCGATAATAGTATGTTTTGTGTCAAAAATGGATTGAATCGATCAATACTTCCTTAATATACAATTTTGCTAACACTTGAAGTAATTTTCTGTGCTTGATCCTTGCAGTGCGGAGTACACCCGAACTTAGAACTTCCTTATTGTTAATGACTCATATCGTGTAAATGATATTAACAAGAACAGTCAGTTGATATTCAATTTATTTCAAAATATCTGACATGGAAAAAAGGTTAGTTTGAATTTTTAAACTTGTAAGGGAATATTATATACTATACAAATATATTTACACAAACTGGCAATGCCTTTAGTTCAATCATTGTATTAAGCTACAATGAGTTATACAATACAAGTCAGTATAAATATATTAACTAAATCTTTCATACAAAATAAGCTAATACCTTAACGTATTGTTCGAAAAAAAGACGGCAATTACTGATCATAGACTCTTTAGTTAAAACATTGCATTTTGCTTTCTAAACTATATATACTAAAATCAAACCTATTGACGAAAATCAGATATATGTCATCTAAACTCAACCAAAGGACTTAATTTAATATATGAAGTGTATATGAGGAAAACACCAACCAGAGTATGGGTATTAAATACGAACATGTGCGTTGATGCCATTTTCACAATACCCGGTTATATTATCCTTACCTGCTTGCAGCATAACTGGATGATACTTTAAATGACAGAACCGTTTCAACCAAGTTGTGGTTAGCACCTACAAATAGTTTGATTATTGTGAATGCATAGGAAAAAGTGCAACAAAACTTTCACTGTGAAAACGGCCATGTATGTGCATGTTCAGACGAGGCTCGTTTTGCTGCCCAAACCGGGTTCATTGGCGAGGGGACGGCGAGGAAAGACCGAAGAGACCGTGCCACTCGTGCATGTTTGGTTTTTTCCGTATCAGCTCGGTACTACGCATTCGGCATTTCTTTTCAATTTGAAATTCCTTTATGGTTGCAACAGCTCTAAGTTTCAAAGGAATATTTATATTTTATTCGGATATATAAATGTTATTACCCCTTTATACTCTCACAACATGTTGCTACAGAGTATAATAGTTTTGTTTGTATGTATTTTTGCTTAATATACAAGGTGGCTCACGAATCGTGTTGAAAAAATCGTAATAACTTTTTTTCTGTGTGAGTAATCGACTTATTTTTATTTTATTTATCAGGTCATTATTTAAATCTTTTTAAAATTAATTGCTTTTGATACCGAAAAGAGGGTTTGATAGTGCAGCGGTACCATGCTTGGCAGTCCGTCATTTCCGTCCAAAGGGAATTCAGACAGGATTTTGGCGGCACTTTTCACAAGTAGGTGGACCACAATCGTATCACAAGAAGCCCGTATCATCTAATCGCCGGCTGTTGTATCGTCAATTTAGCAAATCCAAGAAAAATCGACTCGCAACTAGAGTTAGCAGACGGTCATTACAACCGACAATTCATAATGACTCAAACCTGTTTCCGTACAAAGTTCAATAACAAGCAGCTAAATCCTCTAGCTTTGCCTATTCGCATGGAATTTTTGCCAAAATATGATTGAAATGTCCGAAGAGACAATAACTTGATAAGTTGCCTGTTTTGTCTGATTAGGTCCAATTTGATCTAAACAAGCGAAATTGTCGTATATGGAGTGAATAAAATCAAAAATTGACAAGACGGAATTTCACTCAGAATGAGTCACTTCAGGCTGATTATTGCGGAGCTCCAACGGAAATTAATATAATATAAAGAAACTTCATTTTCCGCAAAGCCCAAATTTCACCTGACCTGACTGCAACAGACTTTTTATGGGGTTATGTCAAGCAAGAGGTACTAAACAAAACTCAGAAATCTGACTGAATTGAAGCAGTCCATAACATCGATAATTGAGCAATCCCGACTTCAGCCCTTCAGGCCGCAATGAATGATCTTTTTAATTAGGTGTCGCATATGCGTGGTGAGCATGGACGGTAATATTTAAAAATAATTAAGTATATAAAATTAAAATTTGCAAGACAATAAAAAATATAATGCATTGATTAAAAAAAACCTTATTACGGTTTTGTTTTGTAGCACGATTTCGTGCGCCCCCCTGTATAAGGGTAATGAGCCTGAAAAGAGTTCCCCGTTTGAACGCCGTCTATGAATATATATTTTTATAACTGACACTGTCATTTCATGTTCTGGTTAGAAACTAACCAAGACTGCTACTTTCGGTAAAGTTTACCGAACTTAACTGACAGATATTGAGAGAAACATTTTGCAACATGATCCCGATAAAGTTTTTGTTAAGCGCTTAACCATATATTGAGAAAACAGCCCTAAGTCGGCAGTGCAGCACATCTAGTATTTATTAGTTTAAATGTTAGTAAAAATATTCTAACTATACCTAGAGCCCACTAATTTTATAAAAAATAATGTATTGTCTACGGCAATATGTTCAAATATAATGTAAGCCGAATAGCAAAGACTATCCGCATTTATTAGATGTACATAAATGTATATATGTATACGAATACTTCGCATAAAATTTGAGCGAAAATCGACTCTTGTGGATTACAACCGAAAAATAAAAAATGTTTAAAAGCGACCTTGTGCTGCAATAACAAGGACAGTGTTTAAATAAACCTGGAAAAACCTGCAGGAAGCAACAAGTGGTCGAACCGACAGTACTGCTTCCGACGATACAAATGACGAGCTAAGAAAAAAAACATTTATGGAGAAAACTACTACCGATGCAGCTAAAGTTAAAAAATATTTAAGCTGATATTGTAAACAAACAAAAGAATTAGGGTAGTTCTGAAGAAAAAAGCAATCAAGCTGCCATATTGAATAAGACGAAACTCAATGGGTTTGGGCCGCTGCCAGCTCCACCAAGAACTGGAAACTAGTGGTAAAGTTAAAGCGCCTAAAGAAGACAAGACGTAGCTGAAAGTAATCGAATACATTTTGAATAAGAAGAAAAAGATTATATAGACATAGCTAGCAACCAAACAAGTACGGGATCGGCGCTTATTTTACAATATATGCAAACACTGGACTCTGGTTCCAATGATGATGAGCCAAATGTCGATGTGTATTTAAAGTCTCCAG